TTCTGACATGTTCTTTCTATGATAACAAATCCATTATTCCTCCAGTAGATGCTGTAGTTTGAGCCAAATATTTTGAATCAAGTTGAAATTGATATGGATTTTACTACTCATATGAATTCTATCCTAATTTGTGTTTCAGTCAAAATTAGATATCCAAATATGCTGATTTTCTTCTAAAAGACCTAAAAAGAAAAAAGGAATTGCCCCCATCCAACTTGTGTAGTTCCATGTTAGAAAGAAGTACTGCTGGATTGAAACTTAGTTATGGTTGCTTTATACCTTTTTATGCAATGATAGTTGGATTCAATGGATGGGTGTGACAATAATTTTGGTGGGTCCAACAGATAAATTACTCAATTGTGATACCCTTCATTCTTATATTCTTTCAATTTTCTCGATTTTAGATCAGGATGCATGGGAAGTAGTTATTTGTGTAGTTAAAACCAGAATATTTTATTAGTGAATGATGACTAAATGTGTTAAATTTTTTTTAGCTCAATGTGCTAACTCTATTTTTGAATTAATGAATCACAGTTGAATTTGTTTTCTTTGTTATTTGTGACAATTATGGTTCGTTTAAGTCTAGCAAGAAGAAATTGATTGCACTATTCGTGTGGTGGACTAATATCATGCATTTAGTCAATTTTTTTTCTATTGTTATTGAAGTACCATTGTTTATAAGTTGATATGAAGGTATTCAATGACATGACGTTTCTTTTGTTATTCATTTTTTCTATTGTTATTGAAGCATCATATGTTTAAGTGGAGCGTTTCTTTTAGAATTTGGATAATTCGAGAAGGCATATCATCGGGTTTGAATTGGATTTATGATTGGGTTTGAGGTGGTTTTTGTGGATGCAATAACATTGGTTTGGGAAAAATTAAGTTGAATCAAGACTTATTATGGATTGCTGGGTAGTTAGATAATGAGGAGATTTCTTGATCATGACATCCCTGATTAGTGTCATTATAGCACTTGGTTTTTGTTCATTTAACTCACCGCTAAATCGTAGCTATTTTATGGATTTCATTTATTGTTGGTTAATACTCATGTTGAATGTGGAGTTTGGTTATATTTTGTGAAAATTAGGGTTCAGTCCTCCTAGATGGACTTATAACAACTTGAGTCCGTCAAAGAAACTTATTTAAGAGTAAGTTTGTTTTTAATTTTATTAGTGAGTTAAGTTCACTTTTTTTTTTAATCTCAAAAATACTCTTAACAGTGTTAGTTTGGTCAGTTATAGAAAGTTGTAGATATTGTCTATAAGGAGCTATATATAGAGGTCAATGATTGAATATAAAAATGTTTGATTTACGATTGTAATTGTCAATTACTAGTTTTTCATAATACTTCAAATTCTTAGTCATTATTTTATCTGTTATGCATTTAAATAATCGGCTTTCAAGATTTGAGGCTAATTTGAAAAGGATGAATGTTGAAACTGAAGTACGAGCTTCAGATTTTGAAAAAGTAATATGGACAGTGCACACCAAGTACTTAATGTTAGTAATAGTCACATCAGTTCAATAATATCAATTTCAAAATGTAATTTACTAACACCTATGAAGCACAGATACTTCGTTGAAGTTGATGTACCTGTATCAGATACGATACTCGTTGGACACTCGAGAATACGTATCGGATACACCTTCTACGTATCCGATAATAATTAAATATTAGGATACTTCACGGATACTTTTGTAGTCGAGCAACATATATAATTTTTTAGTTGAACCTTTAACATTTCTTTTCAAATTCACATATTATACAATACATTAATAAAAAATTTATATTACTTCAAAAGTACACGAGTGTTTTTAAAGTATTATCTACAATTACATGTCAAAAGAGCATAAAATAAAGTTATTACATTATAATCTTAGCAAAAATTACTTCTAAATATTAGGTAAATATTAGTTTTGATTCTTTTAATTACTCACTTCACTTTGTGAATATACCACAGCGACACGATATATATTTTCTTGAAACTAAAAAGAATTACTAATTTTTTTTATTATATGTTAAAAATCCACANATATACCACAGCGACACGATATATATTTTCTTGAAACTAAAAAGAATTACTAATTTTTCTTATTATATGTTAAAAATCTACAAAAATATATAAGTATTAAGTTGGTTGAAAATAATAAAAATAATAAATATATTTTATTATAATCGTATCTTGACCGTACACATATCTTACTTTTTTAGATTTTATCGTATCACCGTATTCGTATCGTATCGTACTCATATTCTGTATCTATATCCGTGCTTGAAAGACCGACACATATCACTATTTTTTTTTCATGTTACTATTTTTTATTGAGCATGTTATTATTTTTTCAATGTTACTTTTTTAAATGCCGAAAAATTGGATGCTTCTTCCTCTGGTTATGAGTTTGAATGCTATTATTTTTATTTTCAATTTTTTTCAATGTTTTATATTGCTATTTTTTTTTGGTTGAGCACGTTACTGTTTTTATTATGCATGTTACTATTTTTATTAGTCATATTACGATTTTTATTGAACATGTTACTAATTTTGTTGAATATATTATTTTTTTTTTTGAACACGTTACTACTGTAATTTTTTTAAACATGTTGCTACAGTTATTTTTTAAAATATTAATATTGAATGCAACTATTTTTTTATGTTTAAATGTTACTATTTTTTTGTGTATGGTATTATTTTTTATATTTAAATAATATATATATATATATATATTTTTTGTATTTAAATGTTACTATTTTTTATTTTTAAATATATATATGTGTGTGAAAGATATAATCTTAACCTATATATGGATATAGATAGATATGAGAATTTTTTTTTTTAATGTTAGTCAAACTCTAGGAACTTTTAATTTTTAGTTTTACTTTACTTTTAAAAGGAAGCAATAGTCTGATAAAATTGACAAAAAACAGATTTTATAACAAATAAGTTTCTTTTGCGAACTTAAGTTCAAACAAGTCCATATAGGGGGACCAACCTCAAAATTTCTCTTATATTTTTGTGGATTGATTGTTGTTTGTTTCACAACTACATCAGGGATTAGAAGTCAATAGACTCAATCAAGGTAGATGTAGCAGGTATCGTTATGAAAAATGATGCACATGATGATCGCATTACCACGGTTGAAACATCTAATGAGTGGTCAAAATTTAGATTGAATTTGGCAAACAAAAATGTTTGATGAGTGGAGAGCATGTAGACAAACAATATAATTTTTTGTGTCTGTATTTGAAAATGATTTTGTTTCTTAGAATTCTACCTCCAATGCTTTTGAGATGAAATAAATAGAACTTAAGAATTTCTGTTTTTATTCAACTTGTTTTTTGTATATTGTTAATTATTTTTTAGACTTGATTTTCATCGATTTTTTTTTTAGTTCAACATACAAGTTTGAATAAGATTCCTAATTGTGTTGATAATTAATTTTTTTTTTGGGTTTGCACGTGTTCAATTGAATTCACAAAAAACTATAGTTTGTTCATTTGGCATGAGTGACCAATTTTAGATAATTTTCGGTTTTGGTTTCTTTTTGTGAACCTATTTTTGGAGGAATTTTTTTCTAATTTTTTAAAACTTACATGGGTTCAACTTCTTTCAATGGATTCTCATTTTTTTCTAATTATGAATTTTCTTACACAGAACCTTTAGGCGCAATCATAAAAAAATGTTATTTATTATTTTTATGAATATTTTGATCAAAGTTAATTTCATTCCAATGAAAAAATTGTTTTATCCAAAAATATGAATGGAATAGTCATTCTATTCCAACACTTAATCATAAACAGTTGTCAAACATTGAAATGATAATGCGCATTTCATTTCATTTTCAAATTTATTCCATTCCTGAACTTATTCTATTCTCAAATTTATTCCATTCCCGAATTTATTTTATTTGTACTGAAAAGTATTACTCGTATCAGCATAAAGATATTATTGCTTAGGATGAACTCCACTATGTTATTCCTTTTTGATCATGTGCAGTTATTTTATTACTTCACAAGCCAATAATGAATGCATTTGTAGGAGCCACAATGGCTAAAACATTATAATAAATATAGGCCTAAATCAAGTATATTACACAAATGACTAGTGGAGAAAAAGTGTAAATTTTAATAAATTTATTCGACGGTTTCAAATAGATTTATCTAACGATCACCAATATTCCTCTCAAAATTATTCACATTGTACAGTACGTTCAGACACAAGTTATCCTTCTTATATATATATATATCCACCGGCTTGAGTGCGTACACTGTGAACGATGTATCCCACTCATTTGGAACCACAAATAAGTTGGTCTGCTCAGTCTCAGTGTGTACACTTTTGATTTAAGTGTTTCTCGTGAAGCCTTCTCACTCCCTCCCTATCTCCCCATCATGGCTCTCACTGCTGACGTTGCAAAACACAGATACAATAAGGATCTGTTCAATGCTTTGATGAGAGAGGAGGAAGATAAAGTGATCCAACTTTGCCGAGAAAATCCAGAGGGTCCATTGCACGTCCTATCCTTACACAAAGACGNATCAGCATAAAGATATTATTGCTTAGGATGAACTCCACTATGTTATTCCTTTTTGATCATGTGCAGTTATTTTATTACTTCACAAGCCAATAATGAATGCATTTGTAGGAGCCACAACGGCTAAAACATTATAATAAATATAGGCCTAAATCAAGTATATTACACAAATGACTAGTGGAGAAAAAGTGTAAATTTTAATAAATTTATTCGACGGTTTCAAATAGATTTATCTAACGATCACCAATATTCCTCTCAAAATTATTCACATTGTACAGTACGTTCAGACACAAGTTATCCTTCTTATATATATATATATCCACCGGCTTGAGTGCGTACACTGTGAACGATGTATCCCACTCATTTGGAACCACAAATAAGTTGGTCTGCTCAGTCTCAGTGTGTACACTTTTGATTTAAGTGTTTCTCGTGAAGCCTTCTCACTCCCTCCCTATCCCCCCATCATGGCTCTCACTGCTGACGTTGCAAAACACAGATACAATAAGGATCTGTTCAATGCTTTGACGAGAGGGGAGGAAGATAAAGTGATCCAACTTTGCCGAGAAAATCCAGAGGGTCCATTGCACGTCCTATCCTTACACAAAGACACCGTCCTTCATGTGGCCACCTACTCCAAACGAAAAGATTTAGTACTCAATTTACTCCAAGAGTTACCCGAAGGACAATTTGCTAAACTGACGCATCAGAATGACGCTGGAAACACCGTACTCCACGAGGCGGTCACTTCTGACAGAACAGTCAAAGTTGCGACGGAATTGTTGCTCAAAGCACCAGAACTGCTAAGTATGCACAACCAGAATGGAGAGACGGCTCTATTTTGTGCTGCCCGTTATGGCAAAAGCAAGATGTATGAGTATCTTGATGATGAAATGAACAAAAGCATCAAAGATCCAGCAGAATTGAAGGCCTTCCATTATAGGGATGACAAAACCACTATACTTCATTTGTCCATACTCAACGAGTACTTTAGTAAGTAGCCTCAACCCCAAGTTTGTTAACAACTGCCTCAAAAATTGTTCAGGCATGTATGCATTTTCAGTGAGATTCACTAAAAATACAAGAAGCTCATGCCAAATTACATATATATATATATATAGAGAGAGAGAGAGAGAGAGTAGTGCGATAAGTACTAGCCTCTGGTGGATATTTTTTATACAATCCGTTAGATCATGATCAAACGTCCAAATAGCATTTTCCTTTACTAAATTCAATAGACAAACTTACCGGTTATGAAGTAGAAAGGAAACTCCAATAACATATTAATTATGGGTTAAATGATATATGAAAATTATACTTATACATATAATCGAATCAAATCTTTTAAAAAGAAAAAAAGAAGTAAAGTATAGTTAGCTATGTCCAGTGATGAAATGGTGAAGAAGAAAAAATAAGAAAATTTTTATAACATTTGTTTCGGCTACCCACACATCGTATATATCAACAGATTCGCAACATCTTACTTTTTTATAGTTTGATCACTGTAAAGGGTATTCAAAAATTCAAACTATGGTCATGCACATCATCAACATGATTGGATATGGAAATTAAAATTTACTTTAGGAAAAAAAATGTTATTTAGATGTATTTGACTATAATGGAAATAAAATTCTACAGATATATATAATANAAATTTATTCGACGGTTTCAAATAGATTTATCTAACGATCACCAATATTCCTCTCAAAATTATTCACATTGTACAGTACGTTCAGACACAAGTTATCCTTCTTATATATATATATATCCACCGGCTTGAGTGCGTACACTGTGAACGATGTATCCCACTCATTTGGAACCACAAATAAGTTGGTCTGCTCAGTCTCAGTGTGTACACTTTTGATTTAAGTGTTTCTCGTGAAGCCTTCTCACTCCCTCCCTATCCCCCCATCATGGCTCTCACTGCTGACGTTGCAAAACACAGATACAATAAGGATCTGTTCAATGCTTTGACGAGAGGGGAGGAAGATAAAGTGATCCAACTTTGCCGAGAAAATCCAGAGGGTCCATTGCACGTCCTATCCTTACACAAAGACACCGTCCTTCATGTGGCCACCTACTCCAAACGAAAAGATTTAGTACTCAATTTACTCCAAGAGTTACCCGAAGGACAATTTGCTAAACTGACGCATCAGAATGACGCTGGAAACACCGTACTCCACGAGGCGGTCACTTCTGACAGAACAGTCAAAGTTGCGACGGAATTGTTGCTCAAAGCACCAGAACTGCTAAGTATGCACAACCAGAATGGAGAGACGGCTCTATTTTGTGCTGCCCGTTATGGCAAAAGCAAGATGTATGAGTATCTTGATGATGAAATGAACAAAAGCATCAAAGATCCAGCAGAATTGAAGGCCTTCCATTATAGGGATGACAAAACCACTATACTTCATTTGTCCATACTCAACGAGTACTTTAGTAAGTAGCCTCAACCCCAAGTTTGTTAACAACTGCCTCAAAAATTGTTCAGGCATGTATGCATTTTCAGTGAGATTCACTAAAAATACAAGAAGCTCATGCCAAATTACATATATATATATATATAGAGAGAGAGAGAGAGAGAGTAGTGCGATAAGTACTAGCCTCTGGTGGATATTTTTTATACAATCCGTTAGATCATGATCAAACGTCCAAATAGCATTTTCCTTTACTAAATTCAATAGACAAACTTACCGGTTATGAAGTAGAAAGGAAACTCCAATAACATATTAATTATGGGTTAAATGATATATGAAAATTATACTTATACATATAATCGAATCAAATCTTTTAAAAAGAAAAAAAGAAGTAAAGTATAGTTAGCTATGTCCAGTGATGAAACGGTGAAGAAGAAAAAATAAGAAAATTTTTATAACATTTGTTTCGGCTACCCACACATCGTATATATCAACAGATTCGCAACATCTTACTTTTTTATAGTTTGATCACTGTAAAGGGTATTCAAAAATTCAAACTATGGTCATGCACATCATCAACATGATTGGATATGGAAATTAAAATTTACTTTAGGAAAAAAATGTTATTTAGATGTATTTGACTATAATGGAAATAAAATTCTACAGATATATATTTGACAATAATGTACTACTGGATATGAGATGTCATGTAACACGTCAAATTGTGTCACCCACCTTTGGCTAATCCAGAAGGATAAAACCGAAATGAAGGCCAATAATGTTTTTATTTAATCATCTTCTCTTAACCAACAATTTTATTTTAGATTTTTAATATTAAAATGTTTGATTCGGTTATAAGTGTAAGTATAGTTTGCATATATCATTTAACCCATAATTTATATGTTATTGAAGTTTCCTTTTTATTTCATAACCAAACTTGGTAAGTTTGTCTTTTGAAATTTTTAGTTTACCTCATTAATGGACATTGGATCGTGATCTAATCGTCTACATAAAAAGTAATCACCAGAGACTATGGTGCAAAGTTTCCATAATTGTGCTACTATATTTATATTTATATATATATATATATGTTTCCTTTTTCTTTTCTCTGATTTATGCAATTAAATGAGACAGGTTTAGCCCTTTTAATAGCAAGCAAGTATGAGTACTTGCTTAATGAAAAAGACGATGATGGAATGACTGCTCTTCAACTTCTTGCATGCAATCCAGCAGCATTCGAAGACAGGAGGAGTACACCAGTATCTCTCAAGCGGTTCTTTTACTCTTGTATGACTCTTACCTTTCCGGTTTACACTTCATGTCAGAAAAAAATTAATAAGAGGTAGCTAAATGCAAAGAACTAAATTTCGTTTTCGAAACACTCGAAACGCCTAAAACATTTTCATTTTCATAAAAATCGAAACGAATTATTGATTGAATATCAGAATTCTTATGTTTTGAAATGTTTCAAGGTATTTCGATAGATTTCGAAATGTTTTAACATGTTTTGACCTATGTTTCGAAATTGACTAATGTTTCAAAAATAAATTTTCAAACTTTCTTTATTTCCTTCTTGTTTCTGAAATATTATCGAAACATTTCAATTTTCAAGCTCACCAAAACTGTAAACCGAAACAAAATTTTGATTCATTCTTACATGTTTTCAACAGTTTCCTTGACTAAGTAGGCTAAGATTGGAGGTAATAATCTTAACGCATTACTCATTAATCCGTCTAACCCGCTCATAAATAAATGGGTTAGGTACCTATATTTAACTAAATTAAAATTTGGACTGAGTCCTCCTGGATAGACTTATAATGACTTGAGTCCGCCACTGAAATTTATTTGGTGATAAATCCGTTTTTTATTTTACTAATAAGTACTTAAGTCTATTTTTTTGTAAATCTCAAAAATACCCTTAATAGTGTTATTCTGTTCAATTATAAAAATCTTAAAGATCTTGAAAATAGTTTTAAATTAATTTCTTAAATTAGAAATTATTATCCCTTAATTCACTCCTAAATTGAAATTCAAATTTATACTCTCTCTCTCTCTCTCTCTCTCTCTCTCTCCCCTTCCTTAGAAGAAGATCATCTCATTCAATAACAAATGCAAACATTCACAATATCAATTGCAAAACCATTTATTTTGTTCTTCACAGTAACATCAAATTTTTATGTACAGTAACACAACGACTTTAACAAAACTCAAGACGATATATATGTTGCACAGTAACATTAACGAAATATTTTTTTTACACAGTAACATCAATGTAATATTTTTTCTTTCACAGTAACAATAATTTTCTCTTACTTTTCACAAAATAAGGTCCTCAAATTGAAAAATTACATTATTTAGGGCAGTAACACATGATTTTCAGTTGAATTAGAACACTAATCACCACTTGTGAATGTCAAGACATCGAATATGTAAAAATGATTTTCCTTTTCCCTCACAGTAACATTAACTTTTTCCCACAATCAAGTATTTTTGGATTGTATTGCACAACAAAAGATCCAAAAAATTGAAACTTATATCATTTAATTTAGTAATAATGAATCGCATTTTGAAATTAGGAATGCAAAAAACGAAAAAAAATTTGAAAACTTGGAGGCTTCTTCCTCTGGTTATGGGTTTGAATGTTACTATTATATTTTCAATTTTGTTCAATGTTTCATATTGCTATTTTTTTTTT